TGAAAATCACTACATTTGACACTACAGGAAGCGTCTCATCACAGCGACCGGGGCTGCAATGTCAACAACTCAGCCAGACGTTGTTGTCCATGGAGCTCCTCGATTTAATTTTACCATCACCCAGGATAGTTCACACTGTCACCTTGTGTGTTACACGTGCCCATGGCTATAAAAAACACAAGCAGCAATTACAGTGATTGATCATTATTGATGTTTGGGCTGGGCCACGTAATCCTCCCCTGTTCCCAATGCATTTTGTCCACAACACAGTGGCCTTAAAATAAATAGAGATGCTAGATTTGAAGCTTTCGTGACTGCAAGGATTCATACTCTTAGGTTGTTCGGTAAAATCACGTAGGTAAAAAATAATAGAAATAATAATAGAAATAAAATAATAAATCACGACGTTTCGGAGGCAACACAAGTCTCCGTCATCAGGTGGGACCGTCACAGCTAGATTAACTGTCTCAAGTAAATGACTCCGAAACGTGATTTATTATTTAATTTCTATTATTATTATTTATTATTATTATTATTATTTTACCCACGTGACTTTACCGAAAAACCTAAGAGTATAAATAGAGATGCGTTTGGCCACGTTCCGGGCAGTAGGAACTTTTGTTGTAGCATATCCTGTAAATGGAAAATGGTCATTGTCCGTCATTTACGAATGTGTCGCTTTTTTAATGCATTAATTGTGCAGTGTGTGCCACTTGTCAACGCAACAGCATTACCAGATGTAGACCCCAATGTGTATCGTCAAACCCCTCCACCTTCCGACACGGTCAATCAAATTGTTACGGCCCTCAGGCGTTTCAACGCCCCCAATATTCATTTCAGAACGAAGCTCACAATCCAACTGAGCAATTAATATTCAAAATCATATTACGAATAATACAGCACTGGCTACGGGGAAAAAAAAACATCTATCGTGTTTAAGTTATACTGGTAGGAACCAACTAGTTCCACCAGCCCACAGGGGATGATTGTGTCCGTCCGTCGTGAATCCAAAAATGGGAGGGGTGGGGCTGGGTGGAGAGGGGAGGGTGGGGCTGGGTGGGGCTGGGTGGGGAGGGTGGGGCTGGGTGAGGAGGGTGGGAGGGGTGGGGCTGGGTGGGGAGGGGCTGGTCACCCCGTGGTGCCCTTATAAAACTCAACGTTTAACCTACTCACGCCGGCTTGTGCCCGCCCTCACAGTCGGCCATATTTGCGGAATACACCACGCCGCCGTTGACCCTGGCCATTGACCGAGGAACCCAACGTTCCTACCAGCTCCCTCCGCAGGAATGTGTTTAAATTATCGGATTGTCTAGATCAGCGGTCGGGAACCTATGGCTCGCGAGACATATATGGCTCTTCCAGTGACGGCATATGGCTCCCAGACAATTTTGAGTTGAAAAAATAAATAAAAATCAGTTTGGAACTGATTTTAAAATACTTGTGATATTGCTTAATAATACTGTGTCATTTTAAAGTAAACAGAAATTAGTTTTGAAGATAAATTTCACGGGTCACGCCTGCATGAAGCTCAACCTCACCACGTACGAACCAGACTACAAGGCCATCAGCAAAACCATGCAGCACCAGAAGTCGCATTAAAAGTAAGACATATTTAATTTATTATACGTTAAAAATACTATATGGCTCTCAATGAAATATATTTAGAAATATTTGCCTTTTATGGCTCTCCCAGTCAAAAAGGTTCCCGACCCCTGGTCTAGATTATAAGACTTTTTTCGCTGTTTGTTTCAAACAAGAGTTGAGGGTGCATCTTATAACATGGAAAGCACCATAGGTGTGTGACGAGATGTGTGTAACTTTAAAGCACAGCAAGTTGGTACAGTAGGGGGCACAGGTGGTGCATCAGCCAGTCATCTCGGTCATCTCGGTCAGTCGACCCGTGGCACCTGCTGGGTCTGCCCCGTGACCTGCCAGCGGGCGTTTGACACTTCACGTGGCCTCAAGGTGCACATGGCCTGGCACAAGCGTCGTGGTGACGTCACCGCCACTTAGTGGCGAATGGTGGTTGTTGTTGTAACTTTATCGGCACTATCATTAATAGTTTCGGGTACGTCTTACTTTCCGGAGCGTGATATAGTCTGGAGAATACGGTAGGTACATCTGACCCGTCGACCATTTCTATAATGCCTGCAGTATAATTGGGTTTCAGACTCGATTAGTGAACCTGTGAAAAACGCAGGGCAGCAAAGGAGAAGTTTATGAACGTTAAACAATTAAAGATAGAAACTTACAAGGTCAAAGATGTTTGCGCACTGCAACCGACCGTAACCGGCGTCGTCGTTTATCAATCCTCATCGGTGAGCTGGAGCCAATAACCCGGTCGACATGGAACGATGGGCCAAACTTCGATTTAAAGCTTTCGTGACTGCAGAGATTCATCTTCTTGGTTCTTTCGGTAAAGTCACGTAGAATGGAAATAATAAAATAATACAAATAAAACATAATAAAATAATTCTCACGACAGACCTGTTCTTCGCCTGAGGACGGCTGCTTGCGTTGTGGCCGAAACGTCGTGAGAATAATTTTATTATGTTTTATTATTTTATTATTTCCATTCTACGTGACTTTACCGAAAGAAGCAAGAAGAGGGGCAAAACGTTGCTGCGTCCAATGGTTCCAACGGAAAGTCAACTTATATTTATGGTAAGGCCGCAGTATTATTGACGAATGTATTTCGATGTTGTTGTTTTTGCTGCAAGGACGTCCTAGGGGGGTTGATAAATCAACACGCTATGATGAGCATACATTTCAATAAATTCTACTATCAATTGAACCATACGTTTTCTTCTTTCGAATGGCATTGTGAAAAGCAAGTTTTTATTTTTTCTTAATCATAAATTAATGCAAATGTTTCTCATTCATCTTCTTGGTTCCTTCGGTAAAGTCACGTAGAAGGAAAAAAATAAAGTAATAAAAAATAAAAGAATAAAATACAATTCTCACGACGTTTCGGCCACAACGCAAGCAGCCGTCCTCAGGTGAAGAACAGGTCTGTCGGAAAGACCGCGTCTGAATGAACACCGCCAAGCTTGGCAGCGTATATTTAAGCTGGGTTAGAGGGGGAAGGGCGCCTTGACAAAAGGAATTTGCATATCAACAGATGAATTTAGCATATTTATGGGAAATGCAGATATGGGATTAGTCACTACTTGTGGAATGTGTAGGTGGTGGGGAGGGTCTCAAAGTCATATAAAATCGAAATGTGTTTCCATGTTTTTGCTGCAAGGGCGTCCTAGGGGGGGTTTGATAAATCAACACGCTATAATGAGCATTCATTGCAATAAATTCTACTATCAACTGAAGCATGTTTTCTTCTTTCGTATGGCATTGTGAAAAGCAAGTTTATTTTTCTTAATCATTCAGTCCAATGATGTGGTTGACGCAGTGTGGATTTCAGCGATGCCCCCAGAATGTGCATGGATGGAGCATTCATTGGTGATGTGCTTGATGGTTTGGACTCATCCACAGTCGCACAATCGGTGACACTTGCTTGACAGCTCATAGAGCTGAGGGCCAACCCCACGTGGTTGGCAAAGACAAAGATGCCCCGTGTAGCCTTAACAGACTGTAGGGGCAAGTGCTGTTAGCGAGCAGCACCTATGAATGCCAGAACGGCACGCGAGGGGGTGGGTGGCCAGCACCATACCCGGCCGCCTTTGTCTCTCTCAGTATCGATGTTTACACAGCGGGTACTCATTTGAGGCCGAGTCGACCTAGGGGAGGCACAGGATCGGTTCAGATAATCTGTCACCGGTGGTGGCCCTGAGCGGGAAATCGAACTCGGGTCGCTGGGTTTGTAGCGCGCTCACCGCTGCGCCACCGCTCCCCCAAACAGGAAGTGCTGAGGGCCACCCCACGTGGTTAGCACGCGCACACACACGGTCACCCAGAGAGGCACATCCGCGCACGTGACCGCCGATCGCAGCGCTCCTATTGGGCGAGGGCGGGTCATGCGATGACGTCACCGCGCAAATCTTCCCCCCCCCCCCACCGCGTGCACGTGACCGCCCCGATCGCCCCCCACCCCCACGAACCCCTCTCTAGCCCCGCCCCTCCCTCCCCCCACCGCGTGCACGTGACCGCCCCCCCACCCCCCACGAACCCCTCTCTAGCCCCGCCCCCCCCACAGTGTGCACGTGACTGCCCCGATCGCCACCCCCACCCCGACGAACCCCTCTCTAGCCCCGCCCCTCCCTCCCCCCACCGCGTGCACGTGACCGCCCCGATCGCCCCCCCACCCCCACGAACCCCTCTCTAGCCCCGCCCCTCCCTCCCCCCCACCGCGTGCACGTGACCGCCCCCCCACCCCCCACGAACCCCTCTCTAGCCCCGCCCCTCCCCCCACCGCGTGCACGTGACCGCCCCCCCACCCCCCACAAACCCCTCTCTAGCCCCGCCCCTCCCTCCCCCCCACCGCGTGCACGTGACCGCCCCCCCCACCCCCACGAACCCCTCTCTAGCCCCGCCCCTCCCTCCCCCCACCGTGTGCACGTGACCGCCCCCCACCCCCCACAAACCCCTCTCTAGCCCCGCCCCTCCCCCCACCGCGTGCACGTGACCGCCCCCCCACCCCCCACGAACCCCTCTCTAGCCCCGCCCCTCCCCCCACCGTGTGCACGTGACCGCCCCCCACCCCCCACGAACCCCTCTCTAGCCCCGCCCCTCCCCCCACCGTGTGCACGTGACCGCCCCCCACCCCCACGAACCCCTCTCTAGCCCCGCCCCTCCCCCCACCGCGTGCACGTGACCGCCCCCCCACCCCCCACGAACCCCTCTCTAGCCCCGCCCCTCCCCCCACCGTGTGCACGTGACCGCCCCCTCACCCCCCACGAACCCCTCTCTAGCCCCGCCCCTCCCCCCACCGTGTGCACGTGACCGCCCCCCACCCCCACGAACCCCTCTCTAGCCCCGCCCCTCCCACTCGCCCCGCCCCCCCCCACTCGCCCCGCCCCCCTGTCCTGCAAGCGGCCAATGTTAAATGCCGGCACGCAGACGCTGCTGCTGCTGCTGCTGCGTTGTAAGGTCAATCGCAATTAGCGCCGTTGTCTTAATAATTAAACCTTCGGCTGTGACCCCCCCCACACACACACACAACAACAACAACCACCACCACCATCATCATCATCACCCACTGAAGCCGGATTAATATCGCGTGCCCCCCACCACCACCACCAACATCAACAACGAGGGAGAGGTAAGCAACTTGCATCGGGCATCAAGCGCTGTGCTGCTGCTGATGATGATGATTGACCCGGTTTGACCCCAGAGCCTCCTCCTCCACTCTCGCTCGCTCGCTCACGGCTAACGTCAGTGGCGAGCTGACGCCTGAACTGGTCCTGCGAACGATCTTCATCATCATCGTCCTCCCTTCGTTCCATCTTCCTGCTGCTGCTGCCACTGCCACTCTCTCTCTCATCATCGTGAAGTGTTCTATCGGATTAGCGTGGGGGGCCGTTACGCAAGCGGCTGGCGTGGTGGTGGTAGTGGCGGTTGTTGTGGTTGGTGGTGGTGGTGGTTGTTGGTGGTGGTGGTTGTTGGTGGTGGTTGTTGGTGGAGGTGGTGCTGGTGGTGGTTGTTGTTGTGGTTGGTGGTGGTGGTTGTTGTTGTTGGTGGTTGTTGAGGTTGGTGGCGGTGGTGGTGGTGGTTGTTGTTGTGGTTGGTGGTGGTGGTTGTTGTTGTGGTTGGTGGTGGTTGTTCTTGGTGGCGGTGGTGGTGGTGGTTGTTGTTGGTGGTGGTTGTTGTTGGTGGTGGTGGTGGTTGTTGTTGGTGGTAGCGGTGGTTGTTGTGGTTGGTGGTGGCGGTAGTGGTGGTTGTTGGTGGTGGTGGCGGCAGTTGGTGGTGGTGGCGGTGGTTGTTGTGGTTGGTGGTGGCGGTAGTGGTGGTTGTTGGTGGTGGTGGTTGTTGTTGGTGGTGGTTGTTGGTTGGTGGTGGTGGTTGTTGGTGGTGGTGGTGGTGGTTGTTGTTGGTGGTGGTGGTTGTTGTTGGTGGTGGTGGTTGTTGGTGGTGGCGGTGGTTGTTGGCGGTGGTTGTTGTTGGTGGTTGGTGGTGGCTGTTGTTGGCGGTGGTGGTGGTGGTTGTTGTTGGTGGTTGTTGTTGTTGGCGGTGGTGGTGGTTGTTGTTGTTGGTGGTTGCTGTTGGTGGTGGTGGTGGTTGTTGGTGGTGGTTGTTGGCGGTGGTTGTTGGTGGTGGTGATTGTTGTTGTTAGTAGTGGTACTGATTGTTGTTGGTGGTAGCTGTTGTTGGTGGTGGTGGCTGTTGTTGGCGGTGGTGGTTGTTGTTGTTGTTGTTGGTGGTGGTGGTGGTTGTTGTTGGTGCTGGTGGTTGTTGTTGTTTGGTGGTGGTTGTTGTTGTTGGTGGTGGTGGTGGTGGTAGTTGTTGTTGGTGGTGGTGGTCAGTTGACCGTCACGGGCGCCAATCATCACGAGGGCCCCTACGGCACCCCCTTCAACTTCACCGGTGATGGTGAAGTGTGGTGGTCCACAACGCCGTGACCCCCCCCTCCCCACACACACACAAATCCAGCAGTGGATTGACAAAGAACGCTAATCTTCTTGGTTCTTTCGGTAAAGTCAGTAGAATGGAAATAATAAAATAATTCTCATGACGTTTCGGCCACAACGCAAGCAGCCGTCCTCAGGCGAAGACTTATTTTTTAATGTTTTATTTTTATTATTTTATTACTTCCCTTCTACGTGACTTTACCGAAAGAACCAAGAAGATGAATCCCTGCAGTCACGAAAGCTTTAAATCGAAAAAGAACGCTTAAACAAAGACTCGAGAAATATATTTAAATATCTTTAAATACATTCCCTTCATTGTGCCTGGTTACATCGTTTACATTTCGTTAAGTAAGGAGGCCCCTTAGCTTCATCTGAAAATATATCAACGTTTACTTGATACAACCCTTTATCAATCCGCTACTGGCCTTGGGGTCGTCCATAAATGACGTCACGTGACTTTTGACGATTTTTGACCCCCCCCCTAAAATATGACGTCACAAAGCTCTGCCCCCCCGCCCCCCAAAACCATACTTCCATTTTGAAAATAAAACATGCTTCAAATCGCTTTAAACTATTGTCATTGTAGTGCGTATTTAATGTGGCGCTGCACTCCGATGTTGTAGGAGTGTTATAACAATTAGTGTTGTTATAACAATTCTACATTTATTTAAAGTTGCGCATTTTGATGTAACGTCACATTTCTCAACACACCCCCCTCCCCTCTCGTCACACATCGTCACAAATGTCTGACCCCCCCCCCCTCCCTAGTTGCGTGACGTCATTTATGGACGGCCCCTTAAGCCACACCCGGGTCGTGAGGGTTATTTGACCATACTTCACCACACCGGTCCCCAGAGCAGGTGGACGAAGGGTCTGGTTTTGCGATGCTACTCACCACTTGATGTGAGCCGTGGCCACCGCTCCAATTCTTGTAAACACCTGGGGAGAAAATAGCCCTCGGCTGAGGCAATTACCTAATGGACAGTTGTTATTATAATTGGAAGTGAAATACTTGAGGGAAAACAGCCTTCGTTCTTTGAATCAGGTGAAATCCCTCCACCGTTCTTGAGCGCGTAAACACACCTTGGGTTGCATAACGTTTGAAACAGAATGGGAATACTATTGGTACTCCAGCTACAGAGACAGCTAAACAAACAGCTACAGAGACAGCGACAGATAGCTACACAAACAGCTACACAGACAGCTATACAGACAGCCACACAGACAGCTACACAAACAGCTACACAGACAGCCACACAGACAGCTACACAAACAGCCACACAGACAGCTACACAGACAGCTACACAGACAGCCACACAGACAGCTACACAGACAGCCACACAGACAGCCACACAGACAGCCACACAGACAGCCCCACAGACAGCCACACAGACAGCCACACAGACAGCCACACAGACAGCCACACAGACAGCCACACAGACAGCTACACAGACAGCCCCACAGACAGCTACACAGACAGCCACACAGACAGCCACACAGACAGCCACACAGACAGCTACACAGACAGCCCCACAGACAGCCACACAGACAGCCACACAAACAGCCACACAGACAGCCACACAGACAGCCACACAGACAGCCCCACAGACAGCCCCACAGACAGCCACACAGACAGCTACACAGACAGCTACAAAGACAGCCACACAGACAGCTACACAGACAGCTACAGAGACAGCTACAGAGACAGCCACACAGACAGCCACACAGACAGCCACACAGACAGCCACACAGACAGCCACACAGACAGCTACACAGACAGCCACACAGACAGCCACACAGACAGCCACACAGACAGCCACACAGACAGCCACACAGACAGCTACAGAGACAGCCACACAGACAGCTACACAGACAGCCACACAGACAGCCACACAGACAGCCACACAGACAGCTACACAGACAGCTACACAGACAGCCACACAGACAGCTACAGAGACAGCCACACAGAAAGCTACACAGACAGCTACAGACACAGCTACACAGACAGCTACAGAGACAGCCACACAGACAGCCACACAGACAGCCACACAGACAGCCACACAGACAGCCACACAGACAGCCACACAGACAGCTACACAGACAGCTACAAAGACAGCTACACAGACAGCTACACAGACAGCTACAGAGACAGCTACACAGACAGCTACACAGACAGCCACACAGAGAGCTACACAGACAGCCACAGAGACAGCCACACAGATAGCCACACCGACAGCCACACAGACAGCTACACAGACAGCCACACAGAGAGCTACACAGACAGCTACACAGACAGCCTCAGAGACAGCCACACAGATAGCCACACCGACAGCCACACAGACAGCCACACAGACAGCCACTGAGACAGCCACACAGACAGCCACACAGACAGCCACACAGACAGCCACAGAGACAGCCACAGAGACAGCTACACAGACAGCCACACAGACAGCCACACAGACAGCCTCAGAGACAGCCACACAGATAGCCACACCGACAGCCACACAGACAGCCACACAGACAGCCACACAGACAGCCACACAGACATCTACACAGACAGCCACACAGACAGCCACACAGACAGCCACAGAGACAGCCACAGAGACAGCTACACAGACAGCCACACAGACAGCTACACAGACAGCCACACAGACAGCCACACAGACAGCCACACAGACAGCTACACAGACAGCCACACAGACAGCTACACAGACAGCCACACAGACAGCCACACAGACAGCCACACAGACAGCTACACAGACAGCCACACAGACAGCTCCACAGACAGCCACACAGACAGCCACAGAGACAGCTACACAGACAGCCACACAGACAGCCACACAGACAGCTACACAGACAGCCACAGAGACAGCCACACAGACAGCCACACAGACAGCCACACAGACAGCCACAGAGACAGCTGCACAGACAGCCACACAGACAGCTGCACAGACAGCCACACAGACAGCCACACAGACAGCTACAGACACAGCTACACAGACAGCCACACAGACAGCTACACAGACAGCCACAGAGACAGCTACACAGACAGCCATACAGACAGCTACAGAGACAATTTGTCCAGTGCTTCAACTGGGTCATCGAGCTCGTGACCTCTGGGTTGCAATTCCAGTGTGCTGACCGTAATCCCGCAGCAGCATTCACATGCCAGGCAAGTTGTCTCACGGGACACGTATGGTATCGTGGTGCGCAAGAACAAACAATGAATTAGCAGCTGATGCAAATAATGTCCAGGTGACACAAAATGTTACATCGAGCCTGATGGAGCGAACGAACGAGGAACCTCGCAGACGAGGCGGTAAACAACACGTGACAAAAATTATCGATTCTTGACTTGGATCGCATCTCACGGGACCTCGACGTGTCATCGAATTTTGCCTCGTCGGACGGAGCCGTGAACTTGATGCATGGTCCACGAGATAAGGACCGTGTATTTGTCGAGTAGGGGGGGGGATGGTTGGACGAGTGGCTGGAGTGGTGGCGTGGTGGCGTAGCGCTGAACACACTGCACCCTGAACCCGGATACCCAGGATTTGCCAACTCTTCCGTGGCCATGGCTGACAGCGCTGCTGGTGAGTGATTATTGAACCGTCGTGAGCACCGGCGACCCGCGCTGATCATCACGGCGAGGTACGGCACGACGACCCGACCCGTAGCCCACGCGCGGCGTGGAAGAGGCACAAGATCCAGCAGCGGAGCGACGAAGAGGGCTGCTGTTACGTGAACACCCGGTCGTGTTTTCCGCTAACCGCTGGGCTCTCTGGTCTGCTGCTGCTGCTGCTACTACTACTGTTGCTACTACTACTGCTGCTGCTACTGCTGCTACTACTGCTGCTGCTACTGCTGCTGCTACTGCTGCTACTGCTACTACTGCTGCTGCTGCTGCTACTGCTGCTATTGCTACTACTGCTACTGCTGCTGTTGCTACTGCTGCTGCTACTGCTACTGCTGCTATTGCTACTACTGCTACTGCTGCTGTTGCTACTGCTACTACTGCTACTATTGCTACTACTACTGCTTCTGCTGCTATTGCTACTACTGCTGCTACTGCTACTACTGCTGCTGCTACTGCTACTACTGCTGCTGCTGCTACGTATGTTTCCGCGGTTGTGCGGTGCAGCTCTCGGGAGTTGTTTTTGGTCGTTGTGAGGTTTGATTGTACCGGGTGTTGTAAGGGATAAGTACGCCGGTGTACATTTCCATAATAGAGGGGATTTTTTGCGTGGTGGGGGGGTGGGGGTGTTCGATGGGGTTAGATCGGGGTAAGTATAAATGCTGCCGTTGACCCCGTCGCCATCCGACACGGCCAATCCGTAAGGAGGTTTGTCACGTTAACAGAACGTGGCAATTCGTTACCAGTCCAGCATACGGGTTGTGTGTTGGAGAATAAACCCACAACCCGATTTAATCCCAAAACAAACTAAAAAACGCCTCTGTTGTGGATAACATTGGGTGCGAAAAGCCACGTGATTAACAGACGTGCATTTAAATTTTGATTTAAAGCTTTCGTGACTGCAGGGATTCATCTTCTTGGTTCTTTCGGTAAAGTCACGTAGAATGGAAATAATAAAATAATAAAAATAAACCAATAAAATAATTCTCACGACGTTTCGGCCACAACCTGAGGACGGCTGCTTGCGTTGTGGCCGAAACGTGAGAATTATTTTTTTATTTTTAATGTTTATTATTTTATTATTTCCATTCTACGTGACTTTACCGAAAGAACCAAGAAGAGACGTGCATTTGTTCGGCGTGATGTCCAACGTTTCGCTCCACGTGCTGGTAGCTTATTCGGGAATTCGGTTCTTGTGAGAAAACTCATCAGGGAGCTTGGTTGGTGGTCCGTTCGATGTGTGCTTAGCAGTAGCAGGAGATGGGGAGGGAGAGGTGAGGGGATGGGGTTCGGGTTGACCACCTGCTTGGTACACCACTTTAACATCCTTCAACTGTCTTCTTGGTTCTTTCGGTAAAGTCACGTAGAATGGAAATAATAAAATAATCCCATAGACTCCAATGTTAAAGTCTCCCATAGACTTCAATGTTAAAGTCTCCCATAGACTCCAATGTTAAAGTCTCCCATAGACTCCACTGTTAAAGTCTTCCAGAGACTCCAATTTTAAAGTCTCCCATAGGCTCCAATGTTAAAGTTTCCCATAGGCTCAAATGTTAAAGTCTCCCATAGACTCCAATGTTAAAGTTTCCCATAGACTCCAATGTTAAAGTCTCCCATAGACTCCAATTTGAAAGTCTCCCATAGGCTCCAATGTTGAAGTTTCCCATAGGCTCCATTGTTAAAGTCTCCCATAGACCCCAATGTTAAAGTTTCCCATAGACTCCAATGTTAAATTCTCCCATAGACTCCAATGTTAAATTCTCCCATAGCCTCCAATGTTAAAGTCTCCCATAGACTCCAATGTTAAAGTTTCCCATAGACTCCAATGTTAAATTCTCCCATAGACTCCAATGTTAAATTCTCCCATAGCCTCCAATGTTAAAGTCTCCCATAGACTCCAATTTGAAAGTCTCCCATAGGCTCCAATGTTAAAGTTTCCCATAGGCTCCATTGTTAAAGTCTCCCATAGACTCCAATGTTAAATTCTCCCATAGCCTCCAATGTTAAAGTCTCCCATAGACTCCAATGTTAAAGTCTCCCATAGACTCCAATGTTAAAGTCTCCCATAGACTCCAATGTTAAAGTCTCCCAGAGACTCCAATGTTAAAGTTTCCCATAGACTCCAATGTTAAAGTCTCCCATAGACTCCAATTTTAAAGTCTCCCATAGGCTCCAATGTTAAAGTTTCCCATAGGCTCCATTGTTAAAGTCTCCCATAGACTCCAATGTTAAAGTTTCCCATAGACTCCAATGTTAAAGTCTCCCATAGACTCCAATGTTAAAGTCTCCCATAGACTCCAATGTTAAAGTCTCCCATAGACTCCAATTTTAAAGTCTCCCATAGGCTCCAATTTTAAAGTCTCCCATAGACTCCAATGTTAAAGTCTCCCATAGACTCCAATGTTAAAGACTCCCATAGGCTCCAATTTTAAAGTCTCCCATAGGCTCCAATGTTAAAGTTCCCCATAGACTCCAATGTTAAAGTCTCCCATAGACTCCAATTTTAAAGTCTCCCATAGACTCCAATGTTAAAGTCTCCCACATACTCCAATGTTAAAGTCTCCCATAGACTGCAATGTTAAAGTCTCCTATAGACTCCAATGTTAAAGTCTCCCATAGACTCCGATGTTGAATTCTCCCATAGACTCCAATGTTGAAGCATAGCTGTCAACCCATACAGTTTACCCGGTATTCTCGTACAGGGAAATTGAGATTTTAGGTCCACAAGGCCGTTTCAATACGGGCAATAAAATGTCTTATTTGTTAGTGTTTCTCCCTTGGGATGGGACTTTATAGGATGAACGTTGATATTTATAATGAGCACGGGGTGACCAATAGGGTCTGAATTGGCCTGCAATAAGGTAGGCACTGATAGTAAGGGGTTGACTGGTATGAGTGGTTATGTAAGGTCTGTTATCCTACAAAGCCACGTGTTGTTTTCATAACGCCAAATTTGGATATAACCCCATGAATGTGTCGGAACACATTTTTGCATAGCGCCGACACGACGTGGATGTTCACGGGATTTGAGTGAACGGAGCTACGTCGCGCGAGTAGGAATAAGCTAAATTTCGATTTAAAGCTTTCGTGACTGCAAGATAGGAATAAGCTGTTGTACGGCTGCTTCGGCGTAGCGTCACGCGGGGCGGGATGCTGCTGGATACTTCTAGACGCTACCCGCGCGCCCCAGTCTTTGTTCGGCCTGCACACGCATCTCACGTGTTATCGCGGACCGTGCTTTAGCCAATATTATTAATTTATAACGCAGATTTTTCCATAATGCGGTGTTCTTCGGGAATGTAACGACTACCGCGTTATAGCAGAACATGCTGTGTACGGTCAACAAAGCCATGGGGAGCGTGGGAAGGCCTTCATTCAACAGTGGACTGGCAAGTGCTGTCCGTGGTAGAACAGCACTTGCCCCATCGTTCTGCTGGGCTATACAAATAATGACAGCGTACCGGAGCACATTTCGTATTGATATTCGTGCCATTCTCCTAGCGCATGGCTATCGCGAAGGTGCTGTGTTTCACAGGTGATATCGTCTGCCAGGGGGGTCAGCGATACTGCTGTGTGTGTGATCCCAACTCAGCAATTTGCAGGTCATTTTTTGACGTACTTTGGACCGTTACGATGGCTCGTTTCCAACGACGTCGGAGGATCTTTAACAGTGTTCTACGGTTAATACGCCCGCAGTAATAACCGGGGAGAGCCGCCGGATTCGAACAACGAACCACAGCTGTATCGTGACACACTGCTCCCCCCGATACTGGTGATCCTGGCCTCCTTTGTCTTCCTCCTATTAACCCGTCGGCGGCCTCCGTTCGCTTTTGTGCCGAGCAGGAGGAGGAGGAGGACACGGCGGAGGAAGAGGCGCGGTGGAGGGGGTCAGGGTCCGGGTCGGCCACGTCTGTCCCGGCTCCGCGTCGGCCGCGATGGCTTCGGCCGCGGAAGCGAAGTCCTTCCCACGGAAGGATCAGCCGGATCCAGGCGGAGTGACCGCTGCGGAAATGGGACCGCTGCTGTCGGGACGCACCGTGAGTCAGTGGCCGTGGGTGTCGGGGCGGCACATGTCACCGTGTTCAGTTGTCGGGTCCGCCTTCGCTAACCCGCAGTGACCAACGTGGTGAAGGAGAGGCGTTCAAGCCGACAGAGAGACGCTTGCATGGAAACTGTCCACAACGGCCACATGGGCAGACACCCTGGGCAGTCGGACTGCCAGGCAAGCGGCAACACACAGATGCACCGATAGCCGCAGAGAAACGCACAGATACACACAGATACAAATATCCCTCGTACAGCCTTTAACAGACTGTTGGGGCGAGTGCTGTTAGCAAGCACCGAATGAAGGCCCGCACACGTGGTGGGGGTGGGTGGCCAGCACCATGCCCGGCCATCTTTGTCTTCATAAGTGGAGATACTCTTAGTTTTTTCGGTAAAGTCACGTAGGTAAAAAAATGAAATTAAATTAATTATTTTTTATTAATTTTAATTTCATTTTTTTACCTACGTGACTTTACCGAAAAAACTAAGAGTATGAATCCTTGCAGTCACGAAAGCTTCAAATCTAGAATAAGTGGAGATGTTTACACACCGCACCAGGTGCTCATTTGAGGCTAAGTAGACCTCAGGGAGGCCCAGGACCGGTTCAGATAATCGCCAATGGTGTTAGCCGTGAGGGGGAATTGAACTCGGGGGGCTGGGTTCGTAGCGCAGGGCGCTAATCGCTACAATCTACCGCTCCCCACCATCACACAGCCACGTGTACAGCAACATGGACAGATACATAGACCATCATACAGACAGCCACACAGCCAAATGGAGAGCCACAAACGCAGCCACACAGGTGCACAGATACGTACAAACAAGAAAAAGCGCAAACGTCTGGGCTTTGTGTCAACACTTGGCGTCGCTTAGGTGGTTTCAGACTTGGCGAAACAACTGTTTGAACATCACGCGATTTAAATAGAGCTTTGTGTCACCCCGCAGTGTGAATAAGGTGCAAAATAACGCTCTCCCGTTGGCAGCGGAGCATGCAAATGCATTCAGAGGAGAGGGTGTCATCTTCTTGGTTCTTTCGGTAAAGTCACGTAGAAGGAAAATATGTTTTATTTTTTATTATTTTATTATTTTCCTTCTACGTGACTTTACCGAAAGAACCAAGAAGGAGAGGGTGTTTTTTGTATCTCGGCGCTGCGCTGCGATGTCTTGCAATGTGCCAGTGCGGTCCTTCTACCAATCCCCTGCTGGGTTTATGGCCTCCCCAAGCCAAGTAGGCCGTGAGCGATATTTGACCATGCTTTCCCCGCGCTGCTCAGTGTGGGTTGGCGAAGGCATAGATGTGTGCGCATACGAGTGCAGTACAGTTTTACTGGTAGGAACCTCCTGGTTACACCAGCCCACAGGGGAGTATTGTGTCCGTCGTGCAGGGAGGGGATGGGTGGGGAGGGGAGGGTGGGGAGGGGCTGGGTGGGGAGGGTGGGGCTGGGTGGGGAGGGGAGGGTGGGGAGGGGCTGGGTAGGGAGGGTGGGGAGGGGAGGGTGGGGAGGGGCTGGGTGGGGAGGGGCTGGGTGGGGAGGGTGGGGAGGGGCTGGTCACCCCGTGGTGCCCTTATAAACTCAACGTTTAACCTACTCACGCCGGCTTGTGCCCGCTCTCACAGTCGGGAATATTTGCGGAATACACCACGCCGCCGTTGACCCTGTCCATTGACCGAGCAACCCAACGTTCCTACCAGCTCCCTCCGCAGGAATGTGTTTCGATGGATTTCGCTGCACTGCAAACAATGCCCCGTTAACACAATTGCAGCGTGGTTTGGTAAATGGCTCAGCTGGTCTTTAAACGACGAATTTAAACAAATGTATGCCATATGCTCCCATTCTATAACGGGCACCACGTGTGTTTATCAACGGGAATACGTATATAATTAGCGGTAATGTATAATTAGCGATGATGATGATAATGTAGAGACGCAGACACATGTTCTTGCTTACTACGAGTCTTTTATTTTGGACGCAACACAAATTCTAGGCCCAGGCTTAAACTTAGTCCTCTCTCCAACCGTCCCCCTCGTGCTGTCCCCTTTTATATCCCTCAAGTTCAAGTTCATGTATTAGGTGTAGCCCTGTGAGCCATTCGGCTCTTGAATCGGGTGCAACCGCAACAAGCAAAAAACAAAAACATGAACAAGAAAACATCTTAAAGTGAATGTGACTAAGTGCAAACAGAAAATCCAAGAAAAGACAGCAAAAAATATTGCAGCAAAAAACACCGTACACCAACGCTGTGTGCAAAAATCCCAGTGGGATGCAAGTCAAACAACAACAACCACAAGACAACTTCGATTAAGGCCATCAGTCTTACTCCGTACTACAACAAACAAACATGGCCAAACCAGTAAACTTTTCGAAATCACCAAAATAAAGCCATAAAGGGCCCCTTTCTCGAATATTCGCTCACCGCCACTCCCCGCAGCCAGTCCTCCACCTTCTAGAACGGTCGTCAACCGTCACCCCGACAGTCCACCCTCGTTTTCACCGCCTTCTTACCTTCGAATTTTCCTTCCAATCAGTTCAATTCCGAGACCTCTCTTGCCAGTATCAAAATATAAGAATAAGTTATATCCTATCTGGCCATCATAAAGCGGTTGTGTTAAGATGTTCACACACCAGACGGAAACCTTTTGCAAGGAATCGTGTCCGCGTTAACCACACGTACTTGTGTTGAACATGCAACAACAACAAAATGCTCTGGTAGTATATGATGATACATTGTCTTTGAAACTGATTGGTCCACACCAGAGACAGCTTTCTTTGGAGCCGCTGCTCTCCCCGAGCTCTCACTCCTGCCCTTCTCATCTCGCTCTGCTCCCCTCAATCTCCCACCTGTCTGCACCCATCTCGCTCTCTGTCTTCTCATCCCATGCTAGGCCACTCCATACCAGAGGTCGCAAACGGGTTTTGATTCCTTACCCGTATTCGGCCGCACCAGGGTCGCAAACGGGTACCCGATACCCGTACCCTACCCGATACCCGGCTACCCGTACCCGGCGGGTATCGTGTAGGGTACGGGTATCGGGTACCCGATTGCAACCTCTGGGATGAAGCCATGTTGCAGGCGCGGGTGGGTTGATTCTAGGAACTTGAATTGTGAGAAGAGACAAGACGTTGGGAAATGAGTGACAAACGGTGACTCACCAGTGACTCACGGCCTTGCCCGTACCCGGCCGCACCAGGGTCGCAAACGGGTACCCGTACCCGGCTGGGTACGGGTAGCCGGGTTTCGGGTAGGGTACGGGTATCGGGTACCCGATTGCGACCTCTGCTCCACACAGACTCTCCTACAGCTCCCCGCTCATCATCTCACTCTACCGCCCTTCCCACATCCTCTACACTCCGGCAACCCAGCCTTTTTATAATAAAAGTCCAACAGTCAACCTTCGATTAGGGGGAAGTTGCTTATTCCCATCTGCTACCCTCATTTCTGGAAATGGATTTCTCCAGCCATCCGTACTATCGACTGCCTGCCTCAAGTCCAGACTAAAGTACTTCCTTTTTTCACAATGACTCGCTGCCTTTGTGCACATATTAAATAAATAAGCCCACGGTTTCTGTACAGTTTCTTTAGATGTGGTCACATTTTGACACTATCCGAAACCAAAATGTGTGGTCGTTTTCAATGTACGGAGACCCCCAGACTCACATAGAGCCCATAGACTCACACAGACTCGTAGACTCACATAGAGACCCATAGAGTCAAATAGAGACCAAAAGACTAACATAGAGATCCATTTACAGTACAATACTCACACGAGACTCGTATAAGTGTGCTGAGGCTTTTGGCACGAACTTTCATACAGAAATTCGTAGCAGCAGCAGCAGCAACGCCCAACCGTGGACTTTCGCCCGATAAAAGATTGTGCGGTGCTTGTTAAATTGATGTTGTTCCCTGTAAATCCTCTGCTAGGCGGACATGCGGGGGGGGGGGGGGGGGGGGCTCTGGTCTGGACCGCTGAAAAGTCCGGCAAGCCGCTACACTCAGTTTAACACGCCGTAGTAGTAGTGGTAGCAGTAGTGGCAGTAGTGGTAGTGGTGGTAGTAGTGGTAGCGGTAGTAGCGGTAGTGGCGGTAGTGGTAGTTGTAGTAGTGGTAGTCGTGGTGGTAGTAGTGGTGGTAGCGGTAGTGGTAGTAGTGGTAGTAGTGGTGGTAGTAGTGGTGGTAGCGGTAGTAGCGGTAGTGGCGGTAGTGGTAGTAGTAGTGGACTTTCGAGACAAATATCATCCATAATAACAGGGTTTTTTGGTTAGATCGGGGTAAATATAAATGTGTCGTTAAACCCGCCACCACCCGACACAGCCAAATTGGTAAGGTTTGTCACATTAACAGAACGTGACCAATTCGTTACGAGTACAGCACCACACCGGTGTGTCGGAGAGCAAATCCACAACATTAAAATCGACGTAAAACAACACAACAGCAACAATAACACCACGCCTTTGTTGCTATATATGTATGACTGTAAATGTTTAGGGTCTGTAGTGTGTGTTATTGTACAGACCAACACGTAAAATGCTGTACGGCAATTATGTATTGTCCAGTCCGCGTGAACGCTGGTCCCCCCCCTACCACCCCCTCCCCACCATCCCCCACCACCCCTCCCCTATCCCCCCCACCCCACCACCCCCCACCACCCCTCCCCTATCCCCCCTCCCCACCATCTCCCACCACCCCTCCCCTACCACCCCTCCCCACCACCCCCCACCACCCCTCCCCTATCCCCCCTCCCCACCACCCCCCACCACCCCTCCCCACCACCCCCACCACCCCTCCCCTATCCCCCCTCCCACCACCCCCCACCACCCCCTTACCACCTCTTCCCCACCATCTCCCACCACCCCTCCCCTATCCCCCCCCTCCCCACCACCCCCCACCACCCCTCCCCTATCCCCCCTCCCCACCATCTCCCACCACCCCTCCCCTACCACCCCTCCCCACCACCCCCCACCACCCCTCCCCTATCCCCCCCCTCCCCACCCCCCACCACCCCTTCCCTATCACCCCCTCCCCACGATCCCCACCACTAGCAATTAGCCTAAAGTACATTTACACATTTCTACATTATACACAATATATAACGTATACCCAGTGCTTGTGTACTATACGTTACATGACGTATTTAACGTAATACAGTATGTCCATGTCCTATTATATTGACTATCTCTTTGCATCCCACTTACATTTTAGATTATTTATATTTTTCAACTACCCAACCAGTCGAAAAATAGTTAGCATCTCGCCACCGTGACGCCTCCAGTGGAGGGCCTTCTGCCAGCGGTGGCACGAGCGAGGCATTTCAGGGCTGAACCTTTACCAATCTGCGGGTGTGCAGGATGCGGGGACGACTTCTGGTGGAGCCACTGAGGAGGAAGAAGAGGAGGAGGAGGTTCCGCTGAGAGTCATCACGCTGCCCGAGCAGGCCCACCACGCCATGGAGAAGATGGAAGAGTTTGTGTACAAGGTACGTGTGTGTGTGTGTGTACGTTGAACTTCTTTCACGCCGTACGTAGCCGACCGTGTTCATCGGAGGTGCGGGGGAAGGACAACAAACTATGTACAGATAAATTTCGATTTAAAGCTTTCGTGACTGCAGGGATTCATGTTCTTGGTTCTTTCGGTAAAGTCACGTAGAAGGGAAATAATAAAATAATAAAAATAAAACATAATAAAATAATTCTTCACCTGAGGACGGCTGCTTGCGTTGTGGCCGAAACGTCGTGAGAATTATTTTATTATGTTTTATTATTTTATTATTTCCATTCTACGTGACTTTACCGAAAGAACCAAGAATATGTACAGATAGTCCCCGAGTCACGATGGTCCGATTTGCGATAGTTCGATCTTACGATGGCAGGCAAACGCAGCAGCATACGAATCTTGGTGAGTGTAGTACAATATGATACATTACAATACGTTCAATGCATGTATGATACGTAGCTTTAGCGATTTCATTTTAGGGTTACCACGATACGATACGTTCAATGCATGTATGATACGTAGCTTTAGCGATTTTATCTTAGGGTTACCATGATTACGATACGTTCAATGCATGTTAAAAGTTTTTATAGCAGATCGGATTGTTTCCTGAAAAAACTTTTGATTAAATTTCAGTTCATATTGGTAGGCCAAGAATTTACCTTGTTTTTGTACTTTACATTTTACTGTGCAATACAGTATTGTAATTAATAAATACATACAGTATATAGTTTATACAGTACGCTACTGTAAATTGCTCTGTTCTGCTAAATTATCACCATTCTTTAAGACTCCTGGGTAGGCTAGGCCATCTTCGACTTACGATTTTTTCGACTTACGATGGGGGTCGTCGTAACGCATCTCCGTCGTAAGTAGAGGACTTACCTGTATGTTGAACTTCTTTCACACCGTACGTAGCCGCCCGTGATAATGGCAGGTAGGTGCGGGGGAAGGACAAAGCTGCCACGCTTCTGAGAGACTCAACCACGACTCATGAAGAGTCCCTCTCATCCCTCACACTCTCAGCACCGCCCACAAGAAAAAGACTAAGATCCCCCGTGTAGCCTCAACAGACTGTTGGGGCAAGTGCTGTTAGCGAGCGCCTATGAAGGTCGGCACGGCACACGAGGGGGTGGGTGGCCAGCACCACGCCTGGCCGCCTTTGTCTCCCCAGTGGCGATGTTTACACACCGCACCAGCTACTCATTTTAGGCTAAGTTGACCTCCTATTACATTGCCACGCTCGCTCAACTTACTACCCCACCTCCATGCTCTTTCTGATGTGCCTACGAGCATATTTAGTGGCCACTCCATATGCTCATAGGCGCTGCCCACTCCTCTGCATCCCGGCTAGCTCTGCCCCGCTGCATCATGGGTCGCGCACGAGGGCAGAATGATTTTTCACGGAGATTTAAAAAAAATCTCTCGAATTTCACAAAAACCCGTGGACATCGGTCGCAGTGTCTGCCGCGTAAGTGACGGCATTTTTTGGGTGATTATCATCGTCGTCGTCATCAACGTTGTTATCATCGGTATCGTTTTAATCATCATTATCACCGTCATCATCATCATTACTCTCATCGTCGTCGTCATCAACATTGTTATCATCATCGGAACCATATTAATCATCATTATCACCGTCATCATCATCATTACTCTCATCATCATCATCACGATTGTCGCCGCGATTATCGTCATCGCTGCCTCTTGTTTATTTTACACTTTTTTTTCTCTGCCAAAAGGTCGTGGCTTCCGAAACGTGCAGCTGCCTTGCCCGTCTTTTGACCCAGAAGACCCCGTTATAGCAACGTGGGAAGTGGTTGTTGACAGTGGGAATCATCAACTGGGCACAGCTGAACAATAGCGGGGGGAGGGGGGGGGGCGTGTGAGCAGCTACAAACACAAGCGGAATTGCAGCGTAAACGAATGCAAGTCGATTACCCATTGTTTTTGGTGGGCGGAGGGGGGGGGTCAGGAGGCAGTCATAACAAGAGAGGTGGAGGTCAATATTTACACTGGGATATTTGCACACAGCGTTGGTGTACGGTGATTTTTCTGCAATATTTTGCCGTTTTTTCTTGGATTTTCTGTTTGCACATAGTCACTTTAAGATGTTTTCTTGTTCATGTTTTTGTTTGTTGCGGTTGCACCCGATTCAAGAGCCGAATGGCTCACAGGGCTATACCTAATAAATGAACTTTACCAAAGGTCACTGAGGTTGGTTACATAGGTTTGTAGGTCGGCTCAACCTCAAATGAGTACCTGGTGTGGTATGTAAACATCAACACTGGGGAGACAAAGGCGGCTGCGGTGCGGTGATGGCCGCCCACCCCCTCGTGTGCCGTGCCGGCCTTCGTAGGTGGTCCTCGCTAACAGCACTTGCCCCAATAGCCTCTTCAGGCTGTACGGGGGATCTTTGTCTTTGTATCGGGAGAGATCGTCCACTAATCTTCTTGGTTCTTTCGGTAAAGTCACGTAGAAGGGAAGTAATAAAATAATAAAATAAAACATAATAATATAACATAATAATATAATATTATTTTATTTTATTAATAAAAATAAAACATAATAAAATAATATAATAAAATAATATTATATTATTTATTATAATATTATATTATTTTATTATGTTTTATTTTATTATTTTATTACTTCCCTTCTACGTGATTTTACCGAAAGAACCAAGAAGATGAATCCCTGCAGTCACGAAAGCTTCAAATCGAAAATCAAAAGCGATTTGCGACTGAGTCGAATGACCGAGGAGCATTTTTGGAAGCGGTTGGAATTGCCAGCGTCTGTTTCTTGTGTAGAGGTGTTACGGGAGGACGAACAAACACACCAGGGGTGGTTATGCCCACACGCGGAAGGATGCTTACATCCACGTCCGCATCGTTTAGCCTGGGGGGCTGAAACGGCGCTGTGATCCCCCACGGCCCCACCCCTCGAGGGGGGAGTTGCTATATAAGGCGGTGAGCCGGTGGGCTCGGGGTTCAGTGTTTAGCTTAAACCAGCGAAGAAGGAAGACCGGCTAGATAGGCCCTGGGACTCCCCTGGATCGCTGTCCTTCTCAGGACCGACCAGGGCAAGCCAGTGGCGTGGCCCCGAGAGCCCAGAGTCGATGCTCTTGTAAGAGCCTGTCTGGTGACTCAGGGTGCCGTGATCGCAGCTTGGCCAGAGCTGGATCAGCTAGCCTCCCCTAGCTCTCGAGTGGAGGACCTGGGAGTAGGCTAGCCGGGATAGAGATCGTGGGATCTCCCTGTTAGACGGGTGAAGGGGCCGATACCCCTTCGAGTGTTGTATTCCTTGGCCTGTATAGAGTGGAACGTTTAATAAAGAAGTGTGCCTCCGACTACGTCGTCCAAGTCTCTTTGAACCTACTACACTTGTGTGAACCCATCCACGGCGCAGGTGTGGGAACGGCGCTGGCAGGTCATCCCGTTCGACCTGCTGCCCAGCTGGCTCCAGGACAACGATTACCTCCTGCAGGGCCACCGGCCGCCCATGCCGTCGTTCCGCGCCTGCTTCAGCAGCATCTTCCGCATCCACACGGAGACCGGCAACATCTGGACGCACCTCATCGGTGAGAGAAGGTTGCGCGATTCGCGGCACCAGGATCGCGGCGATGGCTTTGCCGTCTTTTCTTGGATTTTCTGTTTGCGCATAGTCAATCTGAATTTGGAGCTTTCGTGACTGCAGGAATTACTCTTTTGTTCTTTGGGTAAAGTCACGTATAAAGTAAAGATAAAAATAATAAATTAAATGATAGCATACCACGTTTCGATTGCAACACAAGCAATCGTCATCAGGTATAATGAAATAGCAACAAACATCTAACCAGAAAACTATAGACAGATATCTGTCTGCTTATATGTCTGCCTATAGTTTTGTGGTTCTATTTTTGTTGCTATTTCATTTATACCTGATGATGATTGCTTGTGTTGCAATCGAAACGTCGTAGTATGCTATCATTTAATTTATTATTTTATCTTTATACGTGACTTTACCGAAAGAACCAAAGTGCACATAGTCACTTTAAGATGTTTTCTTATTCATGTTTTTGTTTTTTGTTTGTTGCGGTTGCACCCGATTCAAGAGCCGAATGGCTCACAGGGCTCTATACCTAATGAACTTGAACTTGACGATGTCTTTGTACGTTTGTTCGAGACGCAGGGGTGTCGCGAATGTGATTTGTTTTACAGACGCAGCCTTGCAGTGGTTTAGCAGCAGGGGGCGATGCTGCTACGTGTAAGGAGTGTTTTGCTGGTGGTTTTTTGTCGTTGCAAATTTGGAACGTGAGGCTTGCATACAATGGCCTATGTGTGTGTGTGTCTCTCTCTGTGTGTCTCTGTGTTATCTCTCTGTGCTTATGTGTCTGTCTGTGTGTGTCTGTGTTGTCTCTCTGTGCTTGTGTGTCTGTCTGTGTGTCTCTGTTGTGTCTCTCTCTGTGTGTCTGTGTTGTGTGTCTGTCTCTGTGTCTGTGTTATCTCTCTCTGCTTGTGTGTCTGTCTGTGTGTCTATGTATGAGTCTCTCTCTGCTTGTGTGTCTGTCTGTGTGTGTCTGTGTTGTGTGTCTCTCTCTCTGTGTGTCTGTGTGGTCTCTCTCTGTGTGTGTGTCTGTCTGTGTGTCTATGTTGTGTGTCTCTCTCTGTGTGTCTCTGTGTGTGTCTCTCTGTGTGTGTGTCTATGTTGTGTGTCTCTCTGTGTGTCTCTGTGTTATCTCTCTGCGTATATGTCTGTCTGTGTGTCTCCGTGTCTGTGTTTTGTCTCTCTCTCTCGAATTTAGCAATCTTTGGAAGAACGTAATCAACCAGGTAGGGTGTTGACTGTTATGTTAGCCGACTCTCTGTGTCGTAAGTTTACTAGGTTTGTTTTCTCTTTCATTTCTACCTGATGATGATTGCTTGTGTTGCAATCGAAACGTCGTATGCTGTTCTTTGATAAAGAAAATATTTCTACGTGACATTACCCAAAGAACCAAAGAGTAGTTTCTGCAGTCATGAAAGCTCCAAGTCAGGTTTTAATGGCCTACCCATTTCGAATGGCGTAAGGGGATCGTTACCATCCTACTGTGAAGAAGGTTAAATTCTAGATTTGAAGCTTTCGTGACTGCAAGGATTCATATTCTTAGGTTTTTTTGGTAAAGTCACGTAGGTAAATTTTTTTTAAAATTAATAAAAGTAAAATAACAAAAATATTTTATTTTACTTTTATTATTTTTTTACCTACGTGACTTTACTGAAAAAAACCTAAGAATAAGAAGGTTCAAGTTAGGCCTCGGGCTTTGTGGTTAGGTCAGGGGTCGGCAACCAACGGCTGCGGGGCCGCGTGCGGTGGCTCTTGAAGGACTGCAGAGGCCGCTCTTGAAATTCTAAACAAATGGCTCTTCTTGTTATTGTGGGTGCCGACCCCTGACCATGGAAGCCGAGTTTACCATGGGAGTCCAGTTTACCATGGGATTTCAGTTTACCATGGGAGTCCAGTTTACCATGGGATTTAAGTTTACAATGGGAGTCCAGTTTACCATGGGAGTTCAGTTTAACATGGAAGTTCAGTTTAACATGGGAGTCCAGTTAACCATCGGAGTCCAGTTCACCATGGGAGTCCAGTTTACCATGGAGGTCCAGTTTACCATGGGAGTCCAGTTTACCATGGAGGTCCAGTTTACCATGGGAGTCCAGTTTACCATGGAGGTCCAGTTCACCATGGGAGTCCAGTTTACCATGGGAGTCCAGTTCACCATGGAGGTCCAGTTTACCATGGGAGTCCAGTTTACCATGGAGGTCCAGTTCACCATGGGAGTCCAGTTTACCATGGGAGTCCAGTTTACCATGGGAGTCCAGTTTACCATGGAGGTCCAGTTTACCATGGGAGTCCAGTTTACCATGGAGGTCCAGTTCACCATGGGAGTCCAGTTTACCATGGGAATCCAGTTTACCATGGAGGTCCAGTTTACCATGGGAGTCCAGTTTACCATGGGAGTCCAGTTTACCATGGAAGTCCAGTTTACCAGTAGGTACACAAAAATCTGTCAAAACTTGACCCCCCCCCCGCCCCTGTACGCACGCTTGACGCACCCCCCCCCCCCCCCCTCCCGAATCCTATAGAACGGCCGATATTTAATCCACACAGAAACGATCAAGGATTAATAATATTAACGTGTTTTAGCAAACAGACAGTCCACCGCCGGCTGCATTTAAATAATTAAGTTGCGTACCATTCAAAAGGTGACGGCGTACTGTCGGAGTTTCGTGACCACGCGAAGTGTCAGGCTGCAGCACAGCGGCGTTAGCTGCCGCCTGCTGGGCCACCGCCTCAGGATCATCCACAGCGTCGCTGACGTCGTCGTCGTCGTCATCATCATCATCATCCAGCTTTTGGTTGTTCTCACTATCAGAAGGCTCCGCCGTGTGAATGCGCTGGTGTCGTTTGACACTGGCCTGCGACGAGTGATGCTACACGCCGCACACGGGACATGTGCGCTTGATAATCATTTCAGGTTGTGCGAGTGACGGACAGCGCATTATCAAATGTCCGCGCATCAGCAGCACAAACAGATTCACGGCTAAAACCTTGAGCCAGCGGCAGTCTGTGGAGAGGCCAGATTGAAGGATGTGTCATCCATGGGGCAGGCCGCCAGACTGTGAGACTCGCTGCTGAGCTGCGTGACAGCTGCAATCAGGGGTACGGTGGCATACAAGTGTGGTGACTGTCACTGTGTGGTGCCGGGCTTGCGAGGCCGCGGCGGATAATACGTTGCCATTACGTGCAGCCCGGTTACTGGGCGTAGTAGCACCAGCCCTAGCGGGGCTTGGGTGAGGCACCACGTACGGTGTGTGCGGTGCGGGCTCCCGGTGAGGGAGCGAGAGAGAGCGTCATCCAGCCAGGGTTACGTTGGGGCACGATAACGCCGGTTGACCTGCCGACACGTGACCGGATGGTATTGGAGGGGGGCCACCGGTAGATGGGGGGTCGCTGGGCGGTCACGTGGTGTAGAGGAGCTCTTGGGAGCTTTCGGGAAGGAGCTCGAGAGAGATCTAGAAGGTGGGCGGGGCGAGGGGCGGAGCCGGCCCCAGCACGGGCCGATATCATGGGGGCGTCCCCGCGAGAGGCGAGCGGTTTACACCATTGGAACCTCATTTGCCAGTAAAAAAATATGATAATTGGTTTTTTACCCTTTTATCTGGCAACAAAACTGACACCTTTTTTACGAGGAGTCATGTTTGCATAGACCACGATACCTGCAGTCATAATGCAAACAAAAAACATAACTCTGATAATTTATGCACTTTCCTTGAAGTTGATTGGTCCACACCCGAGACAGCTTTCCTTAGAGCCTAGTCTCACATGGTGTTTGACCAGATGACGCCAAAAGGCGCCTTTTGGCGTCATCTGGTCCAACACCATGTGAGACTAGGCTCTAAGGAAAGCTGTCTCAAGGACAGTGCATACATGATCATAGTTATGCTTTTTGTTTGTATTATGACTGCAGGTATTGCGATCTATGCAAACATGACTCCTCGTAAAAAAGGTGTCAGTTTTGTTGCCAGATAAAAGGGTAAAAAACCAATTATCAGGCTCGGGGTTCTTCGTGTTGCTGGTGATGAAGATCTACGTCGGGTTCAAGAAGCCTCTAGCCACGCGGTCAGGGACCCAGCTCGCGGTGCGGACCGTGATAGCGAGACCGTGTCTCGCTCTGTCGTAGCGTGGTCAGGTGGGCGTTCGACACCCGAGTGTAGGGTGACGATGGTGCCGCTCCCCCACGCCCCGCTCCAACAGGCTTCGTGCTGTTCCTGTCGCTGGGCGTGGTGTACATGCTGCGCCCCAACATGGCGTTCGTGGCGCCGCTGCAGGAGAAGGTGGTGTTCGGCGCGTTCTTCGTGGGCGCCGTGCTCTGCCTGTGCTTCTCCTGGCTCTTCCACACCGTCTACTGCCACTCGGAGAAAGTCTCGCGCACCTTTTCCAAGTGAGTGGCGCGCGAGGGCGCGGGCTGACGGGCACGAGCTCGCGGCCAGCAAAAAACTAAAATCTTGGGCGCCACGGTTGGAGAGATGTTAGTTTGACACGTGCAAGGTTTTCGCGACCAATATTATTCATAATCAACGTTTTTGGGTTTAGATGGCGTTATTTATAAATGTGTCATAACCCTCCACCACCCGACACGGCCATTCAGTAAAAAAGTGTCACGTTGACAAAAGACAAATAGTTCACTGCTTTAGCCCACCGGTGTGTTGAAGCGTGAAGCCACAACATTTACAATTTGAGTAGTACGACGTTTCGCTGGTAATTGCATCCAGCATCATCGGGCAATTCGCCAGAATGGTCAGGCTCTGCTGTGTCTCCCGTTCTTATATAGAGCAGCAGCAGCAGGGTGACGTCATCATTAACTCATTAACTCATCAGGTGCAACGATTTGAGAGGGGGGGGGGTTATTGTAATTATATACTAGATTAGTAATCAGGCAGTTAAATTCATATGAATTCATTGGTTGTGAAAACCTACGTAAGAAGGAAGGCCTACCTTACAGGTCGTGGTAGCTCATTCCCGGAGTCGATGCTCTACCGCAGCGGCCTTCATAGCAAGGCCTCCAGCGGGCCGCTGGCGGCCCCTGATGGCCTTTAGTGCGGCCCCTGACGTGCGGTCCCCGACAATACCCAACGTGTGAGAACACCCCCCACGATCATCGTGATGCTGTCCAAACCTCAATGCTTTCAAACGGTGTGGCGGCCCTCGCACACGGACCGATGTCTTATCGGCCAAAGTGCCCCCCCCCCTCTGAAATTCAATGAAGAATCCCGCTCTGCTCAGCACACGATCGCGTGCCGTTATGATTGTAAAGAACTTCGGACGAGGTGAGTATAGCTCGACTTGGTGGTTTATTCACAGGTCACCTGCAAACGCATGGAGGCCACACTTTTCGAGGCTTCCCTCCAGAATGCGCGCTCGGATCTCTCTCTCTCTCTCTCGGGCCCCTTGTACATCCTGAACTCCCCTTTCTAGCAGGTTCTCCTCTCTCTTCCAATCCCCTTTCTACTTTTCCAGCGGTTATCAACCGTTCCTTATTCATTACTTTAATCTTGCCGCCCCCTTCCCTCTGCACCAATCTGATTTGAATGCTCCGATGCCTTCCAATCAAAAGGGTTGTCGGCGGCTCTGCTACTTTAAACTTGGCTCTGCCTGTGCAGCAGAGGTCGCAACCGGGTACCCGATACCCGTACCCTACCCGATACCCGGCTACCCGTACCTGGCCGGGTACGGGTAGCCGTTTGCGACCCTGGTGTGGCCGGGTACGGGTAAGGAATCAAAACCCGTTTGCGACCTCTGACCTGCAGTCGTCACGACTTCTGGCTGGCTACCCCCCCCCACCCCTGGCCCCCACTCACAGACATCGTGTTGGCCGCCAGGTCCGACCCTTGCGTGATCAGACATCGTCTCCTGCCGCTCGGAGAAAGCCTCGCGCACCTTCCGCGTGCGAGAGCTCTTCACGTGAGCGAGCGTCGGTCGCGAATATCATAACCCGTTCTGTGCCTCCCCTAGGTCGACTCGGCCTTCATTGGGTACCTGGTACGGCGCGTGTGGCGACGGTCGCACACCCCGCTCTGGTTGGTGCTCGCTACCACCGCTTGCCCCAACGGTCTACAAGAGGCCGCGGGGGGGGGGGGGCATCTTTGTACGCGCGCACGTGTGCAAGTGGTGTGCGTTGTGCGCGCACGTGTGCAAGTGGCGTGCGTTGTGCGCGCACGTGTGCAAGCGTGCGTTGTGCGTGTGCGTTGTGCGACGCAGGCTCGACTACTCGGGCATCGCGCTGCTCATCATGGGCAGCTTCGTGCCCTGGCTCTACTACTCGTTCTACTGCTCTCCGCAGCCGCGCCTCATCTACCTCGTCATCGTGTGCGTGCTCGGCGTCGCCGCCATCGTCGTCTCGCAGTGGGACCGCTTCTCCACGCCGGCCTACCGGGCGGTGCGCGCCGGTGAGGCCCGGCCAACGTCATCTTTGGTGACGCCGACGCCGACTGGCGGCGATCGCTGACCGACGCTGATGGTGATCGCTGACTGACACTGATCGTGATCGCTGACTGACGCTGACGGCGATCGCTGACTGACACTGATGGTGATCGCTGACTGACACTGATGGTGATCGCTGACTGACGCTGACGGCGATCGCTGACTGACGCTGATGGCGATCGCTGACTGACGCTGATGGTGATCGCTGACTGACGCTGATCGCGATCGCTGACTGACGCTGACGGCGATCGCTGACTGACGGTGATCGCCGGCCGACACTGATCGTGATCGCCGACTGACGGTGATGGTCATCGCTGACTGACGGTGATCGCCCGCCGACGCTGATCGTGATTGCCAACTGACGGTGATCGCTGACTGACACTGATGGTGATTGCTGACTGACACTGATGGTGGTTGCTGACCCGACGCTGATCGTGATCGCCAACTGACGGTGATCGCTGACTGACGGTGATCGCTGACTGACGGTGATTGCTTATCAACACTGATGGTGGTCGCTGCCCCGACGCTGATCGTGATTGTTGACCGACGATGATCACGATCGCTGACTGACACTGATCGCTGACCGACGCTGATCGTGATCGTTGACTGACGATGATCACGATCGCTGACTGACAGTGATCACTGACCGACGCTGATCGTGATCGCTGACTGACGATGATCACGATCGCTGACTGACAGTGATCACTGACTGACACTGATCGTGACCGCTGACCGAACGATGATCGCGATCGCCGACTCACCGATCACAATCGTTGGCCGAGTTTGAATCTGGGTTTCAGCCGCCCGCAGTCATTAACCAGCTCTTAAGCCGTAGTGAGCCTGCTGGTCTTATTGTGGTAAATGAGTAGGGAAGGTACGTGACGGGGTCGACCGTGCCGTGAGCTTCCCCTCTGCACCTCTGAAGCGGGGCACTCTCGTATTCTTCTTCCCGCGCATCCGTGCTGTTATCACAGCGGTCGGGAACGGAGGCTCCAGCCTTTGGACCTCGGTCCCGGATCTCCAGATTCGCTGAAACCCGCAGCTTGTGCGGGAGACGCGTGACACGCGCAGCCCTGCGCTGCCGGCGTCGCGAGACGCGGGATCCGTGCGGAAACCCTCGCGGCAGGGTGCGACTCTTGTGCAAGAGAACAGCCCACGGAGCTTGATATCATAGAGCTACATCTTAATATCAATTCCAGTGACCTGTGGTCCTCCACACGGGAGAGGGGAGCACTTTCCCACCCGACCTGCCACATGGAGTAATGTTCATTGTGTAATGTGAGGTTATATCCGGGTCGTTGACGGATTACAACTCGTCACGACGATTGGCTCTGCCGGTCCTGGTTCATAGCCAATCGGGGGAAGTCTAGGGGCGTGGCCCTGACGTAATGGGAAGGTGACAGCTGCAAGTAGATGATTGGTTATGCTGGCTTTAGCCACAGCCAATGGGGGGACGAGTCAGGGGTGTGGTCCCGGGAGCCTCTGGAATATTCCATAGAGGCTAACCAGGATTGGTGGAAACGTACCACGTGACCCGGATATTAAATAGGGGTGGAGACGGACGACACGTGGTCAGAACGGGAACGAACGGAGGAAGGGGGCCACGTGGGAGCGGGGCTCTGGGTTGCCACGTGGTCCAGGCTGCCACGTGGTCCAGGCTGCCACGTGGTCCAGGCTGCCACGTGGTCCAGGCTGCCACGTGGTCCAGGCTGCCACGTGGTCCAGGCTGCCACGTGGTCCAGGCTGCCACGTGGCTACGTGCGTCTCTCTCTCTATCTGTCCCTCTCACGCTGTCTGTCAGCAGCGCGAAGGAAAGCTGTAATACAAGTTGAATAAAAGACGGATTCCAGAAGTCGCCTCAACGAGCTTTATTACAATTGCATAACACTCCACCGATATATATATATATGTATTTGTTTCAATTCTTAAAGAGATGGAAATCCCACCAAACTTAAGGCACAAATTGAATGCGACATAGTTTTGTACGTCATCCGTTCGCGTCTGTCTGTCTGTCTGTCTCTCCCCCCGGGCAAGGCGTGTTCCTGGGCCTGGGTCTGAGCGGCGTGGTGCCGACCGTCCACTTTGCGGTGGCCGAGGGCTTCGTGAAGGCCACCACGGTGGGGCAGATGGGCTGGCTGCTCCTCATGGCGGTGCTGTACATCACGGGCGCGGGGCTGTACGCCGCGCGCGTGCCCGAGCGTTTCTTCCCGGGAAAGTGCGACATCTGGGTACGCTGCTGATATTGCCGCTGCTGATGCTGCTGCTGCTGATGCAAAAAGCAGTTCTAAAGACATTGGTTTTCATTTTAGAAGCTGCGCTATAAACTCTACAGTATCACCACTTCCTGCTTCTGTTCAATTGCACAAATGTATCTGCAGTCGATCACCACGAGACGTTCTTGATGGACAATAAAGAGCTGGTTTTGATGTAATCCTCATCAGACGCTCACCACTCGCTATAAACACCGAGCAGACACTCACCACTCGGCAGACACCACCCAACAGATGCTCACCACCCAACAGACACTCACCACTCGGCAGACAGTCACCTGACTCTGCACGACACAGAGTAGACATTCGAACTCGGCAGTAAGTATGTACCGTAAGTTCAAGTTCATTCATTAGGTCTAGCCCTGTGAGCCATTCGGCTCTTGAATCGGGTGCAACCGCAACAAACAAAAAACTAAAACATGAACAAGAAAACATCTTGTAGTGAATATGTGACTAAGTGCAAACAGAAAATCCAACAAAAGACGGCAAAATATTGCAGAAAAAACACCGCACACCAACGCTGTGTGTAGAACTTCTTTCGCACCGTGCGTAGCCAACCGTGCTAATCAGAGGTGCGGGGTAAGGCCAACAAACTAAAGCCAGATATCTGTTCTAAAGAATTTAAAAGTGCATAGCACCAGTGGCTTCCTAATATCGCAAGATGGCCGCAGAAGCGAATGTGAAAGCGCCGCGACGTGGTGACCCTCTTTGTTCGATGTCTGTGCCAGTAGACGCCGTCCCCTCGTGCGCGGCCTCAATACGCGCCCGCCAATCAGCGCTTGCCCCTGGGCTACACGAGAGAAACTTTGATTTTGCGTGCACGTCGTGTGCGTTTTCTCTCTCAGTTCCAGTCGCACCAGATCTTCCACGTGCTGGTGGTGGCGGCGGCGTGCGTTCACTTTCACGGCGTCTCCAACCTGCAGGAGTTCCGCTACTCGCTCGGCGGAGGCTGCACGGACGACACGCTCTTCTAAGGCGCGGGGCCGGCACGGACGAGCCGCCCCTCATCGCCGCCGCCAGCAGCAGCAGCAGCGGTAGCAGTAGCAGCCGTCACTTTAGGCGGGCGGAGCAGTGTTTCTGCTCCCCCCCCCACCCCAGTCCCGGTCCCTTTCCATCCATTCCCGTTAATTCCGGACGCTGCACGCTGGTCTGGTAAAGTGTGGCGTCGTGAGGGTGCCGGCTGCCGCCACCGCCGCGATCGGTGGCGGTGGCGACGTTTACTTGAAAGTATGCCGATGAATCGGCGACAGTGCGTCCACTTTTTGACCGTCGATGAAACCGTCCACTGGACTCTCCTTCAACCGTCGCGTTTGCAGTTCCCATGTCGGCGGTGGGCCCCAGGCGGTAGCCGTGTCGGCGCAGGGGAGTGCGCTCTGCCTGTTGTCGCGAGTTATTTTCTGCTCTTGCCGCCGTTGGTGCGAACCCGTGCGACCTTGTGCGACCTCGTGCGACCCCGTGCGACCTTGTGCGACCTCGTGCGACCCCGTGCGACCTTGTGCGACCTCGTGCGACCCCGTGCGAACCCGTGCGACCTCGTGCGACCTCGTGCGACCCTGTGCGACCCCGTGCGACTTTGTGCGACTTCGTGCGACCCCGTGTAACCTCGTGCGACCCCGTGCGACCTCGTGCGACCCTGTGCGACCTTGTGCGACCCCGGGCGACCTCATGCGACCTCGTGCGACCCTGTGCGACCCTGTGCGACCCTGTGCGACCCCGTGCGACCTCGTGCGACTTTGTGCGACTAAGTGCGACCCCGTGTAACCCCATGCGACCTCGTGCGACCCCGTGCGACCCCGTGCGACCTCGTGCGACCCCGTGCGACCTCGTGCGACCTCATGCGACCTCGTGCGAACCCGTGCGACCTCATGCGACCTCGTGCGACCTCCTGAGACAGGGGCTGAGATGGAAGGGGGCGAAGGCGCCCTGGGCGCGGAACAAACGGCTCATTTTGACGTGCGCCGTTAAATCCTCGCTGCGTGACCGACCGTGCGTTCATTCCCCTCTCCGCTGCCAACCCTCTGGGGGGTGGGGGGTGGGGGAGTGTAAACTCGCTGAATTTGTTCAGGGATGGAACAAGCCTCTGACAATCTGGTTTTGGGTTTTTTTTTGTCTCCTTTTTTTTGGGGAGGGGGTCTTGCGGAGCGAGACGGTGGCGGCGTTTAGATCTTCATCCGTTGGTCACCCTTGTCGAGAAAGTTTTCTCTTTTCAGCATTTCATCGAAAGCGGGGGAGGGGGGGCGGGCGGGGGGCTCCACCGTGTGGATTGGGATGCCCACTGGTTGCGCTACGGCCCGGACGTCACCTTCTGAGTTGAGCCGTGCGGCACACGCGGTATGGAAAGCTAAAAGGTGCAGCCCTGCGGCTGCTTTGAGCAGCTGCCGGCAGAAGGGCCCTCCCGCCTATTTCCCGAGAGCCCTTTCTGGCAGGCGCTTGGCCTACTCTTCCATGCTGGCCAGACGTCTTGAAGGAGGTGGGCTTGCGCACGCGCTCTGGCCAACCGCGCGCGACCTGCCGATCGACTCGCCGTGGTGAACCCATTTATGCTGCCGGGTGGATAGAGGTTGGGGGGGAGCGGGGAGATTAAAAAAAAGTAGCCCGTTATTTCAGATGTTTTTTTTTTTTGCAAAAAAATATTTTGTTATTTTACTGGGTAAGACCCACTGAGCTATAATAGCTCTTTTTCAGAAGCGACCTGGCTTCCACAAATGATAGCCCAATGAAGGGGAAATGTATAGCAGCAAAATACTCTGAACGCACGTTGATTCTAAATGTGGAGGTAAAAGCCAAGGGACCCCGAAAAAATCCACGCGACCACGTGGAAAGAGAGAGACACGCTAACGTCATATACAGCAGGCGTTAGGGTCAGGGTGGAGCCCACGACCTCCTGCATACCAGGCGAAGTAGTTAACATCTCCTAGCCACCGTGACGATGATGAGAGAGAGAGACACGCAAACGCCATATACAGCAGGCGTTAGGGTCGGGATGGAGCCCACGACCTCCTGCATACCAGGCAAAGTAGTTAACATCTCCCAGCCACCGTGGTGATGATAAGAGAGATACACGCAAACTCCAAATATACAGCAGGCGTCAGGGTCGGTATCAAACCCACGACCTCCTGCATACCAGGCGAAGTAGTTAACATCTCTGAGCCACCGTGATGCCCCACGAATCAAACCGGCGACCACTGCATTAAGTCCACCATGGCAGAATTCCCCTATGGGAGTAGAGCTGTGGGTACAGCATGCCCATCGGGAGCAATGCCAGCGGTGCTGGTGATGATGATGATGATGATTTAACACGTAGGCTTTCGCGACCAATGTTATTCATAATCAACGTTTTTGGGTTTAGATCGCGTTATTTATAAATCTGGCGAATTGCCCGATGATGCTGGATGCAATTACCAGCGAAACGTCGTACTCAAATTGTAAATGTTGTGGCTTCAACACACCGGTGGGCTAAAGCAGTGAACTATTTGTCTTTTGTCAACGTGACACTTTTTTACTGATTGGCCGTGTCGGGTGGTGGAGGGTTACGACACATTTATAAATAACGCGATCTAAACCCAAAAACGTTGATTATGGATGATGATGATGATGATGATGATTATTTACGCTTCTTTTTCCAAGCAAGGCCTCAAGACTCGTTTTTCAGGAGGGTCCTCTCAGATTTTTTGCAGTTGGGGGATGATGTTATTTGCGCCCTTTCAGATGCCCTTCCGCGGCCGTCTGGAACACGCTTCCCCTTCCGATATTAGGTAGCCGCTGGCGCTGTGCACTTTTAAATCCACGTTGAAAACTCTTTAGAACTGATTATTGTGCTCGGTTTTGCCGTCCTTCCCCCGCACCTCCGATCAGCACGGTTGGATACGTACGTTGTGAAAGAAGTTCAACGTACATACAAACAGTCCAAATTTAGTCAGTCGCAGGTTATTTTGTCCAGCATTGGGATGCTGGGCCAATACTAATTAAACGTGTGCACGTGTGTGTGTTGTAGCTATAGTGGGGAGCGGTAGTGTAGCAGTTAGCGCTACGCTGCGCTACAAACCTGGCGACCCGGGTTCGATTCCCGCTCACAGCCAACATCAGTGACGATTATCTGAACCGGTCCTGGGCCTCCCCTAGGTCGACTCAGCCTCAAATGAGTATGTAAGCATCGCCACTGGGGAGACAAAGGCGGCCCGGCGTGGTGTTGGCCACCCACCCCCTCGTGTGCCGTGCCAGCCTTCATGAGGTGATCGCTAACAGCACTTGCCCCAACAGTCTGTTAAGGCTATACGGGGGATCTTTGTCTTTGTAGCTAAACCCATGCAGAGCGTGTAGAGAACGTACCAACTCCATGCAGAGTTGGCACCAACATGAGCAGTTGAAGCCAGGCCCTTCTCGCCACGAGGCACGAGTGTTGCCACCCTGCCACCCCAGAGAGCCAGCTGCCATCACAAATAGCCCATTGCCTTCCATCAGTGCAACGCAAGCGTGGGTGGTGGGTGTGGGTGGTGAGTGTGGGGGGGGGCGGTGGTGAGTGTGGTGGGTGTGGTTGTGGTGGTGAGTGTGGTGGGTGTGGGTGGCTTGTGTGGAGTGTGTGGGTGGTGGGTGTGGGGGGGGGTGGTGAGTGTGGGTGGTGGCTGGTGTGGGTGGTGAGTGTGGTGGGTGTGGGTGGTGGGTGTGGTGGGTGAGTGTGGTGGGTGTGGTTTTGGTGGTGAGTGTGGTGGGTGTGGGTAGCGAGTGTGGTGGGTGTGGGGGGGGGTGGCGAGTGTGGTGGGTGTGGTGGGTGTGGGTGGCAAGTGTGGTGGGTGTGGGTGGCGAGTGTGGTGGGTGTGGGTGGCGAGTGTGGTGGGTGTGGGTGGCGAGTGTGGTGAGTGTGGTGGGTGTGGTTTTGGTGGTGGGTGTGGTGGGTGTGGGTGGTGGGGGTGGTTGGTGTGGTTGTGGTGGTGAGTGTGGTGGGTGTCGGTGGTGGGTGTGGGGGGGTGGCGAGTGTGTGGGGGTGGCAGGGTACAATTTGAGCAGTCGAGAAACCGTACGAGCTAAGACGCTGGTGTCAGCGTGCGATCGACTTGAAATACCGACGACACGAGAGGAACTAAAAAAAAGGCGTTGCTCGTGGTTTATTTTCTTACAGAAGAAGAAATGCACCGAGCCGCGTGTGTTTCTTTTCTCTTGTGAGAATCTGAGTATGGCAGCAGTTGGCATCGCGGGCTCGCGAGGGGGGGCACTTTCCCGCGGCGTTCCTCCTAAACTCCTCTATCGTGCGCGGGCTCTCCCGATCTTTCAGGAACGTGACTGAAAGAAAAAAAAAATTACGTGTAAAAACAAAGTTTTTCACTCTAAATCCTTTATATGCGTGGCGGCTAGAGTCCTCTCGTCCTCTGGCTTGAGATGGCTGCCACCTATGGGTCAGATGATTGTCTGCCAGCATTAAGCAATTGGTAATTAAATATTTTTAAAAATTCCCTAAACAGTGTAAAATTTTGGAAAAAAATTTTCACGAAAATTAATTGTCACGCACAACGAGTCTGTGTGGAAAATGTCAGCTCGATTGGATCACGGGAAGTGTGTTCAAAAACGATCGAAAGATTTGCACGTTCGTAAGCAAGCAAGCACGCAAGCACGCAAGCAAGCAAGCGAACTTAATATAAAGGATTTAAAAAAAAAATATCTCAACTCGGATTCGGTCGAGAGCGTGCTGGCATCCCCACGCGGCAGCGATGTGTTACAAGTAAAACACAAAAGGCATTTTTCATTTCTCTTCGGCGTGAATTGCCGTCGCATTAATTCCGCTCGCTTATGGATTCGAGGACATAAGCCAAGCTCTAGATGTCATATTGACTTTACTAGAAACAAGTATATCCCGTAAAAACAAAGTTTTTCACTATAACTCCTTTATATGCGTGGCGGCTAGAGTCCTCTCGTCCTCTGGCTTGAGATGGCTGCTACATATGGGTCAGATGATTGCCTGCCACCATTAGGCAATTGGTAATTAAATATAAAAAAAAAATCCTAAAAAGTGTAAAGTTATGGAAAAAACATTTTTCACGAAAATAAATTGTCACGCACAACGAGTCTGTGTGCAAAATGTCAGCTCGATTGGATCACAGGAAGTGGGTTAAAAAACGACCGAAAGATTTGCACGGTCGTAAGCGCGCAAGCAAGCAAGCGTGTGAACTTAATATAAAGGATTAAAAAATGGGCTTGTGTGCAGCGACTCATGCGGATCGTCGCATGGCGACGCACGGCGAGGGAGACCTTTCATCCAGCAGCAGTGGACGAGATCATGGCCCTGTGGTGACGACGACGACGGGTGACGTCTTCCCGGTCCTTGATTATTTCCGCTGATTTTGCTCGCGTAAGGTCGTCGCGCTGTACACCACGTGCGTCTCCGCGCGTGCGTGCGTGCGACTCGTGGTCGTGGTGGGGGGGGGGGGGGTCCCCTTGTAAGCGTTCGTGGCTGAGATGCACTCGGCTCCGCCAACCCGTATCCCTGCGTTGCCGATCATTTTCGCTCGCTTGACGAATAAAATGGGTCAAATTTCGATTTAAAGCTTTCGTGACTGCAGGGATTCATCTCCTTGGTTCTTTCGGTAAAGTCACGTAGAATTGAAATAATAAAATAATAAAAATAAAACATAATAAAATAATGATTTAAAGCTTTCGTGACTGCAGGGATTCATCTTCTTGATTCTTTCGGTAAAGTCACGTAGAATTGAAATAATTAAATAATAAAAATAAAACAATATAATTCTCACGACGTTTCGGCCACAACGCAAGCAGCCGTCCTCAGGTGGAGAACAGGTCTGTCGAGGAGACAGAGTCTGTCTGTTTTTATTATTTTATTATTTCAATTCTACGTGACTTTACCGAAAGAACCAAGAAGATAAAATGGGTCACTTGGAAGTTTGAACGCGCACAGCCCCGGGACGGGCACCACCGCAAAGGAGACGCGGGGCGGCAAACAGTGCTGGGACTCCGGAGATGAGTGACGCTGCCGAGATGTGGCGTGGGAAGGCGTTCTTCCAGCGCTGGATCGAGAATGATGGTCATGCCGCCCGCTACTGTTGTTGATGCTGCTGCTGCTGCAACTGAGCTATGGCAGTGAAGGCGGTGAAACCTTCAATTCTGAAGTATCGGGACACACACGCGGACGTCGCCGGGAATTGAGCCCCGGCCGCTTGGATTTCCACACGGAGCGATCGAACCGCTGCGCTGCTCTAGTTTGTATGTTTATTTTTCTAATCGAAGCCACGGTACGTGGCGTGTGTTAGCGGTGATTGGGAGCGGTAGGGGTATCTGTGTGTGCGTGCGTGTGTGCGTGGCGCAATCCGGTGTCATCAATTGCATCTGTGATGTGTACAATAAACGTGGGGGGAAAAAAACATCTGCGTAGAAAGTGTCGTCATTGTTCTACTTACCATTCACACGCGTGTGTATTTGTTGGCAATTCTGGTGGACAATTTCAATACCCGACCAATTATATATTTCCATTTAGTCTTTTCCCACAATTGGCGCTGTCATCTCATAACAATTTGGAACTCGCAGAGAATTGCAACCCCCCCCCCCCCCCACAGTTTTAGAGAACTGCCCACGGAAGAGGATATTGCAGAACGACCTCTGAGATTCCATCAAAAGGCCCACGATCAATCAACACTTCCCCACCCAGTCTGTGACGAGAGTAATGCTCATCGCAGAACAGTCAAACCCCCGAGATATTACTGGTAGGAACCTCTGGTTACACCAGCCCACAGGGGATTATTGTGTCCGTCCGTCGTTCAGGGAGGGGCTGGGTGGGGAGGGAGGGGCTGGGTGGGGAGGGGAGGGTGAGGAGGGGCTGGGTGGGGAGGGGCTGGGTGGGGCGTGGGAGGGGTGGGGCTGGGTGGGGAGGGGCTGGTCACCCCGTGGTGCCCTTATAAAACTCAACGTTTAACCTACTCACGCCGGCTTGTGCCCGCCCTCACAGTCGGGCATATTTGCGGAATACACCACGCCGCCGTTGACCCTGGCCATTGACCGAGCAACCCAACGTTCCTACCAGCTCCCTCCGCAGGAATGTGTTTGATTCCGAGAGCTGTCAAACCACATTTAGCGTACATAATTTTATTAATAAGTCAATGCGTTCGAGGCTGAGAACATCAACTCGCGACACTTTGATTAACTTGATCACAGGCGGCTGAAACCTGGGGTCGAACCCAGCGTTGTCAACGGTGCTGACTCAGTGTCTCGGACCTCCTCTTGAGCCATGGAGCCACCGAGCCAGCCCCAGGCGTTTCAGTCGTCGCGAGCGGTACACGCGCGGACAGCGTGCATTGCCCTATGCGACGGTCTTAACAGCGAGGAGGTCAAATTTCGATTTAAAGCTTTCGTGACTGCAGGGATTCATCTTCTTGGACAGCTGTCTCCCCGACAGACCTGGTCTTCTTCACCTGAGGACGGCTGCTTGCGTTGTGGCCGAAACGTCGTGATAATTATTTTATTATGTTTTATTTTTTTTATTTTATTATTTCCCTTCTACGTGACTTTACCGAAAGAACCAAGAATATAGAGGCCTCCTTACAGACCCGCTCGCAGTCTACCTTCATTAAATGGCAGGGGGGGGGGGGGTCGCTCCTTCTCGGCCTCTGCTCCCGCTGTCTGGAATCCTCTTCTTGTTGAACTCCTTTTGCGCGGCTGAGGCTCTGTCACCGCCCTCGTTCAAAGTCAAGACTTCAGTCCCGCTTTGTTTTGATTAACATACGGATGTTTATTTATATTCTTGGTTCTTTCGGTAAAGTGACGTAGAAGGGAAATAATAAAATAATAAAAAGAAAACAATAAAATGATCACGACGTTTCGATTGCAACACAAGCAATCATCATCGTCGTGATAATTGTATTGTTTTATTTGTATTATTTTTATTATTTCCCTTCTACGTGACTTTACCGAAACAACCAAGAAGAGAGGAGGTCACTTCAAGGTGTGCTTTTGAGATGCGGTGGCACGGGGGGAAGGCGTGGAAAGAGTTTGCGGCTGGTTGCGATGCAAATGCCATCGTGGGAGGTGTCGCTCGCAAGGCCCCGCGTCTCCTCGGTTAGCACGGTTGGCTACGTAACGGCACGAAAGAAAATTCAGCAACGTACCCACAACCACGTCTCCGGACGATTCGCAGGGCAAGGGGAAATGCAAACAAATCGGGACTTCATTCTTGACCTTTTGAACGAGGGCGCACAAAAGGAGTTCAAGAAGAAGAGGATTCCATACTCTTAGGTTTTTTTCGGTAAAGTCACGTATATGAAAAAATAAAATAATTATCATAAATTAAAATAACTCAATTAAATCACGACGTTTCGGAGGCAACACAAGTCTCCGTCTTCAGGTGGGAACGTCCCCACCTGAAGAAAAAAAACCCTTAGAGTATAAATCCTTGCAGTCACGAAAGCTTCAAATCTAGAAAGAGGATTCCAGACAGCGGGAGCAGAACCCGAAAAGGAGCGACCCCCCCCCCCCCCCCTCCTGTTGAACGAAGGTTGACTGGGGGCG